TGTGTTCAGAGATTCAGAGATGTGTATCTGTTTGAGTGAGTGTGTGTGTTTAAAATGATCTTAGAACACATTGTTTAAACGCTGGTGTAAAAAAGTGCAGCAACAACACCAAATAGTCCAAAGAAAAACACAGGATTTAACTACATGGGCTTATTTTTCACAGCCCATGTTCCACAGCATCATCTATCATTCACCTTCATAGAGTAGTGAGTGACAGGCATCAGTTCATGATGCCTTGATTTGCTGACCGTTTGGGCTAAATTAGTTCAGATCAGAGGGGGAAATTTTGGTGAACGAGAAAAGGGAGTCTTCTGTGAGAGTCTCGAAGGTGAAATCAATATGGTGGTAGCGGCGAGCATTAGCATGAATTAAGTTATTTAGATTTTTCTGGCATTCTGATCATTCAGCCATCATTCATCCTTCTTGCATGTTTAGTTTTTGAGAAAACAAAAAAAACAAAACATGTGCTAATGTATACAGAAACATGTAGTCAAAAGGTGTGTAAGAGTGTGCGACTGGCATTCTAGTAATCCTCTATATAGTTTTGCTAGTGTTGCTATCACAAGGTCTTGTGGTTGCAATGTGGTATCAAGGATGTGATGCTGCTGCTAGTAGTGTTGATTGATAATACTTTACTCATCCCGAGGGAAACTGGGTTAAGGCTGCCAGCCGTGCCAGCGCCATCTTTCCCTTCCGATCATACATACATTACACAAACATCTCATAGGGTAGGCAGGTCAGAGAGAGGTACAACAATGGAAAATGCACAACATGAGGAAAGACGAGGAGAAAAAAAAAAACCAAAAACAACAACACATGAATCACCACATCTCACAACATAGAAGACATAAGCTTCAAAGGTGTTTGGAGGGGTTTTGGGGGGGGGGGGGTTGAGTGTAGGTCTGTGTCACTGTACATGCGTATGTGTTCAACCAAGAGAAAGTGTCCCTTCACCCGGTTAAGTAAAAGTCAATCTTCGATCAACACGGGTGGCCTCCAATGAGGAGAAAGAGAGTCACAGTAAACAGTCTTATTATCTAAAGGAGAATTTTGTTATTTCTGTCTGTCACAGCGAGTGAGAAGAGCTGTGTGGAGATGATAAAGGAGGATCCAAATGCAGGCAGTCGTGAAGGAGATTTATTGAACACGAAATATAGATGGGCAAACGGCAAAACAGAGAACTAAACTATACTGGGACAACTAAACTACTGAGCATGAACAAGAACTTGAACATAAAAGGAAGAAAGACGATGGCACATGATGATGACAGCAGGGAGACACACGAATGAGACATGGAGGATACACAGACAGACCAGCAACTACAATGACAGAAGACGCGACTTAAATACACACAGAGAAATTACACACAGGTGGTGGACACAGCTGGGAGTAATTAACGAGACGAGGGCGGTAAAACTGAACACACTCACATGAGACGCAGACCTTCAAAATAAAACAGGAAACAAGAAAACACTACACAAGGACGCAGACACGACACTGAGAGACAGACAGAAAATGGCACATGGAAGTAGAACTAAACCTGCAATAAACATGAGAACACAAAACCTACGAACTAATCCCTAAACAAGAATAACTGAAACACAGATTCATCATCATCATCATCATAAGAAAAGAATCCAAAAACACACCAAAACATAACTCAAAATACTGGGTCAAACTGACCCAGATCCGTGACAGTACCCCCCCTCCAAGGGCTGGCTGCGGAACCTGACGGCAGCGTGGCGGCTGCGGAACCTGACAGTGGCGCTGATGCTGCAGGCGACGATGCGGATGCTGCAGGCGACGATGCGGATGCAGCCGGCGACGATGCGGATGCAGCCGGCGACGATGCGGATGCAGCCGGCGAAGATGTGGATGCAGCAGGTGACGGTGTAGAAGTCGCAGGAGATGATTCAGCAGGTGACAGCTGAACAGACTTCCCCAGACCGTCAGCCGACATGAGGATGTGCTGGCTGGGTCCTCCAGGACCCCCAGCTGATGAGACCTGGGGCTGGCTGGATGGGCTCCTCGGGCCTTCCAGCTAAGTTGGCCTGAGGCTGGACGGGCTCCTCGGGCCCTCCAGCTGAGATAGGCGACTGAACGGGTCCTTCACTGGAGCTCTCAGCAGGGGATGACGGCTGAGACTGCTCAGTAAAGTTCTCCAGTGAAGCTGCTGGTGCTGGCGTCTTGACCTCTAGGGGTCCAGAGTTAGCTGGTGACTGACACCCAGCCTCTGGGGAGGCCCTAGAGGGAACAACTGTCTCTGAGATGCCAGCTTAAGTGAACCAGCAGATATAACGATGAAGTGCGCTCCCTGCTTGTAATGAGACGGTGAGGATGGTGACTGAATGAATGAGTGGGTAGGCTGCTGAGCTCGTGGCAACTGAGCTATAGGTAGCAGAGACGGCTGTAGTGGAGGCGTAATAGGTGGTGGAGTGGCTGACTGAACTGGGAGCAGCGTGGCGGCTGACTGAACTGCTAACTGTGTTACAGACCCCACATGGAATTGTGGTGAAGGTGTGGATGGGGGGGATATGGTCAGGAAAAACTGTTTCAGTGAAGTTTATTGCTTTGCCTGAAGGAACCGATGCAGACGAAAAAGCTCCCCTAACATATTCATTCCCTAAATTCATAATGCCATGCTCAGTAACTCCAGGCTTGACAGCAACAGAGTGGAAACAGTCATTAACACAGAGCGTGGACTCAGGAAAAACAGTCTTTGAAGCAGTGGCCATAGAAAAACCACTATTATCTTCTGTGGAAACACAGAAAATGGCCCCAGAATAAATTGTCCTTGTTTCTGAAAAAGCAGAAGCAGTGTCCCTCTCACTCACCACTACCGGTGTGGGGTGCTGCGCCGACGGCGTGAACATTGCTTTCTTTTCGGAGACTGCTACAACGGGCCGGGTAATTCCTCGGATGGCGGTTCGGACAACACGTCCTCCGTGGAAGCGAGCGGGCGAGTGGTAGCAGTGGGGGGATAGGGGTGAAGGTGTAGTTCGTAAAAAATGAAGTTTTGTACGAGCGGGTGCAATGAGTCCAATAGCCAGGGATAACCGGAAATCAGCTGGTGAAGCTTGGCTTCCACAGAGCTGAGAAATCCCTCTCCCTCATGCTCCAGCCATAGGTTCACTAACCTGGAGGCTGCGTCGATTATGACCTCCTGGAGCTCCTTGGGAGGGCTGAACATCGCTGGATCCATATCTGGCTGGTCCGTACTGTCACGGCGAGTGAGAAGAGCCGTGTGGAGATGATAAAGGAGGATCCAAACGCAGGCAGTTGTGAAGGTGTGAAGGTGATTAATTGAACACGAAATATAGATAGGCAAATGGCAAAACGGAGAACTAAACTATACTGGGACAACTAAACTACTGAGCATGAACAAGAACACAAACCTGAACATAAAAGGAAGGAAGGAAGGAAGGAAGATGGCACATGATGATGACAGCAGGGAGACACATGAATGAGACATGGTGGCTACACAGACAGACCAGCAACTACAATGACAGAAGACGCGACTTAAATACACACAGAGAAACACAGGGAGATTACACACAGGTGGTGAACACAGCTGGGAGTAATTAACGAGACGAGGGTGGTAAAACTGAACACACTCACATGAGACGCAGACCTTCAAAATAAAACAGGAAACAAGAAAACACTACACAAGGACGCAGACACGACACTGAGAGACAGACAGAAAATGGCACATGGAAGTAGAACTAAACCTGCAATAAACATGAGAACACAAAACCTACGAACTAATCCCTAAACAAGAATAACTGAAACATAGATTCATCATCATCATCATCATAATAATAAGAAAAAAATCCAAAATGCAAAAACACACCAAAACATAACAACTCAAAATACTGGGTCAAACTGACTCAGAACCATGACACTGTCAGCTTTTGCCTTTAGCATCCAGCTGGCGCCATGGGTCCGAACCCATTATCACTACTAGCCGCCACGTGTGTTTTTATAAAGTCATCTTACTACAACTATTAATAAAAAGCTTATTTGAAAAAAACTAAAATGAAGTTCAGACAATCAAGCTGACTGGAAGTTATTAGCTATGGTTTGACCTTTTATTTTAAATATTGCATTCACCTACTGCAACAACAAAATAAAATGTTCAGCTGATGTTCATCACCTTGATCTATTTATACCATTTTATAAATCATAAAAAAATATTAGTTTTAATTCTTTTACTCATGCCAAGATAGGTGAACTATTAACTGTTAGCTGATCTGAGGCCAGCTGTAAAACTGGGACATCTGAGCTTCCACTGTGTTTGTTTGTTTGTTTGTTTGTTTTCAAATAAAGTGAATGAAAAAGAGTTGAATCACAGACAGAAACTGTTTAAAAGAATGGACATCAACACATTTTTCCCCACAAAGACATAATATTGTACAAATGAGACATTTTCAGGAAGAACTTGGAATGAGTCTGATTTGCTTTCATAAAATTACTTTGAGGTTAACATGCAAATCAATGAGTTTAATAGAAATAAAATCAAAAACCTTTGTATGAAACCCAGTCATGTGTGTGTGCTTCATATTAATTTTAACAAAGCACTATTTGATGAGATGAAGTTTTATATTTGTTTTTATTTGTTGGGGGAGTTTGCAAAATACTACATTTTCATCCTGTTTATATTATCATTGTCCTCAGGTGATGGAGCAGCAGGTCAGCATTGGCGTCTCTATACCAGCTGAAGGTTCATGACACAAAGTGGTGACAAACTGTCTACAATGAGGCTACTATCAGCTGCAGCTCTTTGTCTGACTAACAATGTAACATGCTTTGTAGACCATTGAATTCATCCTGTGCTGACCATTATGACATTTGTCAAATGGAGATCACACAACAAACATGACTTACTTGATGCTGACAATGTGAAGGCTTCACTCCACTCTGTTGAAGAATATGAGTCATCTCTGCGTCGACTCTTACACATGTAGTCTCCATTGCTGGACTCAGACACTCTGAATGTCACATCATTATTGTGTGTCCACTGTGTGGGTGTCCTGGGTCCTCTCCATTCATACTCCCACTCAGTGGTTTCACCTCCTTCCTGCACCTCACATGTCAGAGTGATCGTCTCACCTCTGAATATCTGAGGCCAGTTGGGTTGTTGTTTTACAACAACTTTATTGGAAACTGTTCACACATATTAACAGTTGAGATACAAATAGAAACATGAAATCAACACAGAAAACTTCACATTGTGTGTTTGATAATCATGAGTGAATGTATATTTCAAACTAAATGACTGAACTCACTGGTTTTCTCAATGGTGACATCATAACTTATATCAGTGTAGTAAACTGGGTTTCCTCTTGTTCCTCTGCAGCTGTAGATTCCTCCTTCAGATACTCTGATATCTCTGTTTTGTTGATCTCTGATTTGAACTTCAGAGGTTGTTTGGGTTCGTCTGAACCACTCATATTTCCATCCATCAGAGCTCTGCACAGAGCAGGTCAGTGTCACACTGCCCCCTACTGGTATGATTGTTGTTCCTGCTGTCAGTGTGGCCCTGGGTTTATCTGATGTTATGAAAAACGAGGACAGATCTATTATAAAGGGGAAAAAGCTGCATTTCAAAATATGTTTTCATTTCAAATTCCCACAAAATAAAATCTACAAATTTCCCTATTATATTTTTTTTTCTCTGCAGTTTCAGACACTTCAAATGTTTGCCATTTTTCCGTCTCAACATGGTGACAGAGCTGCAGTAATTCAGGTTGTAGATCTCTAAATAGTCATAGTATAAATGTTTGTTCAATCTCAGGCCTGAAGAAGTCACACTGAATGTAAACTAATGCAGTTCACTGTTGAAGGAAACACAATGATGGGTTCAGAGAGATCTGCCTAGTTTCAGGTTTAGATAACAGAAACATCATCACCTTAAATTTTATGAAACTTTTGATGTTTCTTCTTTTCCTTATTTAAAATGTATTTCATACACAGTTATTCTTGTTATACAATAAAATACACACATGAAGTAATAATAAATGACAGTCTGTGAGTATTGTAATACTGTGTATGCTGTGAGCAAAGTAACCACTAAAATATAGTAGTCCTTGTTAAAGTTTCAAAGTTTCAATGACAACATTAATTAAATGTATTGAGAATTTTATAATTCAGATGATTTTCAACATGAATCATCACATTGTTGTTCACTGAGGACTTACCTAATACAGTTATAGAGACAGTATTACTGATCTTTGTATCATGTGAACTCTTCCTGCGACCAGAGCACTGATATTCACCACTGTGACTTGTAAACAAAAGTTTGTCTTTTTGTGTGCTGTACCTAACTAATTCTCGACCGTCCTTGTTGATTTTGTATTCCCAGTCAGTGTCTTTTCCTTCATTTATGTCACATTTGAAGGTAACAAACTCTCCAATGAAGAAACTCGACCGGTTGGGTTCAATAGTTAACACAGCATCTAAAATCCAATATGACCACAAAGTTAACCTGAAACACTTTTATGCACGAAACAATCTGTGACAGTATGTTCATACACTGTTCATATATTGAATAATAAATAAAAATAAAACATAAGTCAAATGTAATTAAGATTTTTGCAGTATTTTGAGAGGATTTTTACCAGAAAAATTAAAAGACAGAAAAAAAGTAAAAACTGTTCAGTCACCTTGAGCGTGTCCAGTGCAGAGGAGTGTACAGAGCACTACAATAAAGACACAAACTTCAGACTTTATCAAACTAAAGACACTCAAAGTTAAAATAAGTCAAACACTTGTGGTTGCACCAGTGGCTGCTATGATTTATATGCATCAAATTATCCCTGATGGAGAAACAAACCTTTGTTAGATAAACTAAACCAGCTCCACTCTGATCTGAGTCAGTGCACTAAAATCTAATCCAGTCTACAAACAACCATGTTGGTAACAAACATGAGAGTCCTCTGATCACATGACCTGAAATGGTACAAGTGACTGATGCTCTGTTCTTCTTACTAAAACATGTTTATGGATCAGTATGAATCAAACAATAGAAGTCAGTGATGTACTCACAGAATAGGCCCAGCTCACAGAGCAAAGTGGCTCCCATCCTCACATCCAGCAGTGACACGTCTGAAAACTTCTAATACTTTCTGTAAAGAGAGAGAGTGAAGCAGCAGCACAGCAGATACCAAAGAGCTGTGAAGGAAACAATGACTTTTTAATACTTCTTCTCTCTGCTTCCTTCCTTTTACACAGAAATAACAACTTAACAAGATCTGACCAGATTTTTATGAAAAGGCCTTTAACACACAGACTAAACTGACCAATAACAGACAGACAGTAAGTTTCATTACACATATGTGAGCTGACTGAGGGTTAAAGAGGAAATAAGGAGAACACAAGTCCAAGACATGTGCTCTTACAAAAAAACAAACAAAACAAACACCCAGCACACCCCTGCGGGTGGTTTATCCTTCAAGCTCGGGTCCTCTACCAGAGGCCTGGGAGCTTGAGGGTCCTGCGCAGTATCTAGCTGTTCCCAGGACTGCGCTCTTCTGGACAGAGATCTCCGATGTTATTCCCGGGATCTGCTGAGCCACTCGCCTAGCTTGGGAGTCACCGCACCTAGTGCTCCGATTACCACGGGACCACCGTTACCTTCACCCTCCACATCCTCTCGAGCTCTTCTCTGAGCCCTTGGTATTTCTCCAGCTTCTCGTGTTCCTTCTTCCTGATATTGCTGTCATTGGAACCGCTACATCGATCACTACGGCCGTCTTCTTCTGTTTGTCTACCACCACTATGTCCGGTTGGTTAGCCACCACCATTTTGTCCGTCTGTAACTGGAAGTCCCACAGGATCTTAGCTCGGTCATTCTCCACCACCCTTGGGGGCATCTCCCATTTTGACCTCGGGACTTCCAGGTTATACTCGGCACAGATGTTCCTGTACACTATGCCGGCCACTTGGTTATGGCGTTCCATGTATGCCTTGCCTGCTAGCATCTTGCACCCTGCTGTTATGTGCTGGATTGTCTCTGGGGCATCTTTACACAGCCTGCACCTGGGGTCTTGCCTGGTGTGATAGACCCCAGCCTCTATGGATCTTGTACTCAGAGCTTGTTCTTGTGCTGCCATGGTTAGTGCCTCTGTGCTGTCTTTCAGTCCAGCTTTGTCCAGCCACTGGTAGGATTTCTGGATATCAGCCACCTCCTCTATCTGCCGGTGGTACATACCGTGCAGGGGCCTGTCCTTCCATGATGGTTCCTCGTCTCACTCCTCTTTCTTGGGTTTCTGCTGCCTGAGGTATTCACTGAGCACTCGGTCAGTTGGGGCCATCTTCCCAATGTATTCTTGGATGTTCGTTGTCTCATCCTGGACTGTGGTGCTGACACTCACCAGTCCCCGGCCCCCTTCCTTCCGCTTAGCGTACAGCCTCAGGGTGCTGGACTTGGGGTGAAACCCTCCATGCATGGTAAGGAGCTTTCTTGTCTTTATGTCAGTGGCTTCTATCTTCTCCTTTGGCCAGCCTATTACCCCAGCAGGGTACCTGATCACGGGCAGGGCGTACGTGTTGATGGCCCGGATCTTGTTCTTACCATTCAGCTGACTCCTCAGGACTTGCCTGACCCTCTGCAGGTACTTGGTGGTTGCAGCTTTTCTAGCGGCCTCTTCATTGTTCCCATTCGCCTGCGGGATCCCCAGGTACTTGTAACTGTCCTCTATGTCTGCAATGTTGCCTTCTGGTAGTTCAATCCCCTCAGTTCTGACTACCTTCCCTCTCTTTGTTACCATCCGACTACACTTCTCCAGTCCGAACGACATTCCAATGTCATTGCTGTATAGCCTGGTAGTGTGGATCAGTGAATCGATGTCTCGTTCACTCTTGGCATACAGCTTGATGTCATCCATGTACAGGAGGTGGCTGACAACTGCTCCGTTCCGTAGTCGGTATCCGTAGCCAGTCTTGTTAATGATCTCACTGAGGGGGTTCAGGCCTATGCAGAACAGCAGTGGGGACAGGGCATCTCCCTGGTAGATCCCGCTCTTGATGGTGACTTGTGCTATGGGCTTGGAGTTGGCCTCTAGTGTTGTACGCCACATCCCCATTGAGTTCCTGATGAAGGCTCTTAGGGTCCCATTGATCTTGTACAATTCTAGGCATTCCAGTATCCAGCTGTGGGGCATTGAGTCATAGGCCTTCTTGTAATCAATCCAGGCAGTGCACAGGTTGGTCAGTCTGGTCTTGCAGTCTCGGCTGACTGTTCTGTCTACCAGTAGCTGGTGTTTTGCGCCTCTGGTATTCTTGCCAATTCCTTTCAGTGTTCCGCTCATGTATTGACCCATGTGCCTGTTTATCTTAGCCGATATGATGCCTGACAGGAGCTTCCATGTAGTACTGAGGCAGGTTATTGGTCGGTAGTTGGAGGGGACCGGTCCCTTCTTGGGGTCCTTGGGGATCAGGACCGTCCGACCTTCGGTTAGCCATTCCGGGTGTCTCCCGTTAACTAGCAGCTGGTTCATTTGTGCTGCCAGACGCTCGTGGAGTGCAGTCAGCTTCTTTAGCCAGTAGGCGTGAACCATGTCGGGCCCTGGTGCTGTCCAACTCTTCATACTGGAGACCCTTTCTTGGATATCTGCCACTGTGATGGTTACTGGACCCTGTTCAGGGAGGTCGCTGTGGTCTGCCCTCAGATGCACTAGCCACTGAGCATTGCCGTTATGGGTTGCGTCCTTCCCCCATATGCTCTTCCAGTATTGCTCCGTCTCCAGCCTTGGTGGTGCTGTTCTCTTATTGGTCCCTTGCCACTGAGAGTACACCTTTGCTGGTTCTGTGGAGAACAGCTGGTTTATTCTCCTGCCTTCTATCTTTCTGGTGTACCTCCTCAAGCGGCTGGCCAAGGCTGTGAGTCTTTGCTTGGCAGTTTCTAAGGCATGGATAGCTTGCTGTATTTCTTATGCACCTTCTTTGTCGCACCTTTCTGCAACTCCGTTAGTTGGCTAACCTCCCTCCGTGCTACTTTGATCTTGCCCTCTAGCCTCCTTCTCCATGGAGGGTACTGCCCCTTGTGGCTGTTCAACTTGTAGCCAAGCATCTCACTGATGCCATATTGTAGATCAGCTTGTTAGTGTCGGTAATCCTGGTTGTAGGTATTGTCCGTAGTGCTGCATTAACATCATCTAGCAGACCTTCTGAGGGTACTTCACGTAATCTTGGTAACCGGCTACGGGGGATCCAGGTTGGCCATGATCCTTTTTTTCAGGTCAGTTCCTCTCGCACTCAGCGATCCTTCTCCTATCGCACTTGGGGCTATGTACCCAATCTCGGGTGGGGGTGATGATATCTCCCCCCTGACCTGGCGTCCTGACTCCTCCTTGCCGTAGCATTTGTGTTGTACCTCGTCAATCTCTAGCTGTGAGAGCAGTCCCTTCTTTCGAATGTTGGAACACTGAGCTACTAGTTGTTTCGCCGTATCGAAGAATCTATAGGTCCGTCATCCTATTCATGTAGCCCTTTCCGCCGGGGTTACTTGCATAGTAGCATTCCAACAACGCCTTGTTTTCGTCTCTTGCCCACCGATGCCTTCTTGTTCCAGTAGCCCGCTTTTCGTCAGGGTGCCTCAACACCTCAACACCTGACGCGGACCTTGTTGATCCGGGCGACGTCCGAGCCGGCATGCCTTCTGTCTCGCTCATGTCTGCGGTAGGCTTACTTAGCATAGGGGGTCTAGCCTTAGGACCCTTACTGGATACAGACGCCCCAGGCAGGAATCGATCTGTGTGCTACATCATCAGATTAATGAGTCTCTACAGCATTCATATCTTATCCTTTTTTACAACAGTGTTACATTTTAATGTTTTAAGTTTGATATTATTTAAAGATTTTTAGTCACTATTTAATAATATCTCTGCAGCAGGTGGCACTATGTGTCCCTCCAAACTATCAAAGCGCAGCTGATTCACAGAAACAGGATTCAGCTTCGAGAGCAGAGTCCTGCAAATGTGCCGACTATGTAGCCTTTTCATTGGGACAAAGAGGGGGAGGGACTTTCACCCACCCAACACATGCTATCATGCATCCTCTAAGGTCCTGACTGCACGCTGTTTGAAGTTGATGATGTCAGCGTCTGCTGAATGTTCATTGGTTGGCAAGTGTAGTGAAATACAGCAGGAAAGGAAGAAGCACAAAAAACACTTCAAAGGTCAACAATGCACACATGAGAGAGCGTAAATCTGGCGTGCGATGGCTC